ACTCATAAGTCATACGAAATTTCAGCAGCTGAAACTTCATGACAGTGTTATTGCTACGAGTCCCGCACTCTAATCGTCCTCAAAAGCCGTCCGACATCTCCGTAGGAAATTCTCTTGCCATTCGCTAGTGACAGGCTCTTGCACAGTGTAATGGCGATGCAGACTGGGGTGGTGGCGTGGTCAACCGTCAGGTTTGAAGGACGTGTTTTAAAAGGCAAGAATGCTAGTTCGTGTCAAGAGTTCATCGAGCGAAAGATATTAAGAATAAGTCACATGCAAAGTTCACTGATAGAAATTTGTTTGTAGTAACATTGAAAAATGAATTAAAACAATTTATCGGGTAAATATAATAATCAACCACCAAAGTAATTGACTATTCTTCAATAAATTTTAAGGGTACAACACGCAGGAAGGTAATTTAATTCTTGTCAGCATCACCAAACGGTTAAAAGGATACAGAAAAAAAACTTGATTATTTCCGGCAAAAGAAGAATTTGGAATTCGTGAGAGCCTGAGACGCGGTCAGTAGTTAGGCTTATTGCACCAATTCCGTTCCTGCCCCACTAGCGGATTAAATAGCAGCGATAAATACCAGCGTCCTGAACTGCCGGCACGTGCGCTAACCGAGAACTGATGCGTAAAGCTTGACTCTAAGTCCTATTCCAAATTAATCGTCATCGATGCTCCACTCATCGAAAGGCCTAGCAACTAAGCTAGCCGTTCATAGACGAAGAATTGAACGTCTACCAAGAGATGAAACTATATTACCAGTCAGAACGAAACACGTCCGCTTGGTGGGGATTATAACTGCTCTTTGATGTTACAGATCTAATCGCAAAAGGGCCAAATATAAGAATAAGGAACGTAAAAGTTAAATAAAAATATTCCGAACGACAATTAATAAAAGTAAGCTAATCTATAAGTAGAGTTGTGCCTGATTATTAGTACTTGCCTTCAGGTCGCTGCTCGTTCGCCTAAACAGCTAAGCATGAAGATGCACACAATATAAAATAGAAAAATCTCAAAAACCGAGTTTTGGCTTTACTTACTAGTCGTTTACAGCTCCAATTCATATATTCAAAGTAGGGCCCTTCAATTAGACGAGTTTAGTTAGGAATAAAGTAATTCTTATTCAGAACTTCTTTAGAGTTTAGTTTCTCCCATAACTTCAGTATACCAGAAGCCCACCAACAACGGCATCTACCTCGGGTCGCCTGCCGAAGACCACCACAGCCCTGGATGTAATGGACCATCATGATTCCTGCCTTCCGGAACGTAGCCTTCAACACGTAGCCGTCCGTATCTAGGCCGTGGGTCGAACCAGCCCTCGGTCGAACGGCCACTTGTCGAAGGACGATAAATTTTGGAATAGAACTATGCTGTCTGAAACCTAACCTCAGATGCGGTGAACGTAAAATTACGTAATTTAACGATGCCCGGAAGTCAGATTCGATCCGCGGCCTGGTCGTGCACGGCTGATTGGTGAATGTCCGGAGAGATCCAAGGCGTTCGATTCAGGGCTTATTGGTGCACAAAATTTGTGGTGCACGGCTGCGCTCCCATCTACCTCAACGCGCCAAGTGAATGCCCCCAAAAATATTAAGACAGCATCATCAAGGTATTAATATATCACACTTATAAAATATAGTCCACTTGTTAGTAATTTCACGCCAGCTTCCTCAAACTCAAACAAACTTTTATCAATAACGGTTACTCAAATTCACTTTTTCACAATATCCTGAACCAATACCTCGAAAAAAAAATCAGACAAAAAAAAGGGAGACCTAACAACTGATGCAAGAAAACACCGAACTCCCGCAAGTCCATCAAGTTTACAATCAAAATAAATATTCCTCCGCATACAAAACTGATGAACGAATCCTCAAGCATATAATCAGGAACAACGCCAAATGTGCAAACGACAAACACCGGTAACATCTGATAATTTACCACAAACGCCCATAAGCCTGAAAACAAAGAGCAACACAGCTCAAAAATTACAAAACCCTTGAGCAAACAATGGCGCATACAAATACATTGCTAAAGGTGCTTCAGCTTAAACACGGGGACAGTGCAGGTGGCAAGTAGATCCGGCAAACATCCGCCGTTTTGTGACTATCCGGCAAGTAAGCCTGTACACTAGGACAGTATAAGGCGCCGAAAAACTGCAGATATCTTCTCGTTCGCGCCCGCCAGCGCGTCGTTCGAAACCGTCGAGTGAGGTCTGTGAAAATGGATAGTGGGATCACTTTCAACAACTCGGGTCTGTACGTTGTTTTCACACTCTTTATTCTAGCCTTTAAAAATGCAACGTCAGGAAAAACTTAACCCCAACTAATAAGGTCTCGTTTCAGTTTCAAAATACTCGTTTATCTCTTCAGTTTGTTGAGGTAAGCATCATGGCAAACATTCCACATTATTTCATATTTTTTGGAATATCTCAAAGGACAATTGAATATCGTCTGAACTCCAATTAGTTGAGTTCTTCTTAGAACCATTCTCGTTCAAACAAGCCATGATTCACTTGACCCAAGATGCGTCACAAGAGCGGCATAGAAGCCTTCACCACGGCTGAATCGGCCCAACTGGCCGCCTCTCAGGCCGCCAAAGCAAACATGGGTGCTCCTCCCAGCCGCGTCTCGGCACATGCCACTGAAGCGGGTCGCCTGCTGAAGACCACCACTGCCCTAAATGTAATGGACCATCATGATTCCTGCCTTCCGGAACGTAGCCTACAACACATCTGGACAATCATATTGGCAGCCAAAAGCCACCATACAGAACAAATCAATTGAATTAAGACTAATCAGCCCTCAAGAGAAACAGCCGGCGATCGAATGGTCTAGCATCGTCCGCCGTACCGCGAAAAAATTCTGCACCACTCAGACGTAGCGCGCCGGAGCCTTGCAGCGGGTGTGATATCCGCACGATGCACGGCAGGTTTTATGCAAGGCAGGAAGAGGACAAAGCCGACTGGTCGCAGGCTGTTGCTCGCAAGTTCCAGTTCGAGCGGTGGTCAGGGTATGAAGTGATGCTTCGAAGCAACGTTCAGTGGTGGACGCCATTCGACTCTAGGCTATTCGAACTCGTGTCTTTGTGGTGTAGAGCTCAAAATATTCAAAGCAGAATGATGTCAAGGGTCGGCTACAGATAGCAAGTTCCAGTCACGGCTGATTAGTGGATGTCCGGAGAGATCCAAGGCGTATTGGTGCACAAAATTAGTGGTGCACGGCTGCGATCCCACTGAAGCAGCTGAACCCCTCTATACACGAGGTCAGTAGCGTGGACAGATCAAGCGGCGGATGAACTGGCGGCCAGTACTGTCCACGTGGCTGGGTGTGCAAGACCCACAACGTTTCGTATATTTGCGTGACTTCTACAACCATATCAGAAGACTCACAATGCAAATAGTTTTGCGAGACTCAAGAACTCGTGCAATGGACAACCACAACACCAAATTAACCCGAGAAGAACAGGGACAGAAAAAGAAATCCTCCGTCATGAACCAGACTTCAACAGACTACAAATAATGGAAGCATTCCTAATTCAGAGCAAAAATCCGCACCTAAATAACAAATCAACTGGATTTCAACTCAGTCTGAAACTTCAGAACTAGAACGACTGGACTCAGGACTGTACAGTGTACAAAAACCTTACTCATACTTCTTTCACTAGTTCAATTAGTCTCCTCCCTGCAGCCATCCTGGAAGCACCTCGTCTACTGAGCTGCTTGATTCTTATACCTGAAGATGCGAAAAACTGAGCGAAAGACTTCGCTGGATTTATAAACCTTTCATTTTTAGAAATTTTTAGAATAATTGACCCTACTATTGTACCCATTAATAGTCGGCTAAAGAAACTTAACTATAAAGAAGTTCTGAATAAAAATTAATTACTTTAAATAAGCTGGTCCAAATTTAGCATATAAAAACTTAGGAGGCACAGCCGTGGGCCGAAAATGTAACAATAAATTAGTTTTAGAGCTCAACCTCACGATGCAATACAAGTACGATAACAGCGCGCTAACCCATTAATGCCGAGCGGTTCCATTTGGAACCAGAGGGAAAAATGGATTCATATTAAAATTGAATGATCAAATAAATATACAAGTGTATGCATAGGTTTGATATACACCTTGTACTTAATTGTTCTGGCAACATTTGGTTCTGCTTCGCCGACTACTCCCTGTTCAGTTAACATTCCAAGATTATAAGAACCGGGTGTCAGGCAGGACGGCTTGATATCATTGCGGAGAAAGGTGAGTAATTTGTTCTAAAAATATATTAGTTATGAGTCAGATGTAGAATTTTATCGATAAAGTGAGTAATTTTAATGCTGTATATGGTTTTACGTGTTACCATATTTCTAAAGTCATTTAGATCGTGAAATATTTAGCCCGGTTCCTAATGGAACCAAGCCATAATTTTTCACATACGACGAAAAATGAATATTTAAACATATTTTTCATCTATTACCGTCACAAGTGCTAATAGTATCACAAGAAAACGAAGAAAATTTCAGAAAATAGTTCTCGGCATTAATGGGCTAATTGCTTAAAGTATACTTGCTCATAAGCAAGTAGTTCAGCATCCAACCTCACCTACTCACGTTGTCTCGTCCGATCGGGTTGGTTTTAACCCTTTAAAAGACAAGGGGGGCCATGCTGGGTTCCCAGAGAGTAATTTTCGATTGTGTCCAAACAGTAACAGCTTATTTACTCTTGATTTTTCTGGGCAGGGTGACCTAGTGGTTACAGTTCAGAGTACCGATATTGGAGCAGTGAATGGCCGGTTAAATCCCAGCTACCTACGACAGTTCTCGTCTGATCGGCGAAGTGACCAAGGGGTAGAACCTAGCAAAAATGGAGCAGTAAGTTGCGTGCACGAGCCCGCAACAAGTTGTGAATGTTCAGTGATATTAGGAATCAGCGACAGGTCTAATGACCTAGCCAAAGTTGACCCCGCTATGTGTATAGCATTTTTTTTGTCCATTAATATACATTTACTTTCCCTAAAAATTGTTGCTAGAACAGTTAAAATTAAAGATATGCTTGAATGGTTCTACGCAAAAAAGATACGAGGTTCTAGCGTTGGATAAACGATACATGGCATGTGCTCTTCCTAGTATAACAAGCAGCTTCGATTTTTTTTTTCGAAATTTGAGCTCTAAATTACAGTAAACGATCCATGATGGCATTACTCGTTATCCTAAACGAACATCGGACAAGAAGAATTGAGGAAAATGAAAGCGAAGGGATGGGGGTTAAAGTAGGAAAGTAGTTCAAACTCCTTCAAAATTGTAGTCACTGTAAATTGCAAGCATACAAAATTTAGTCAGAATACAGTGAAAAATTTTACCTAATACTGGTTCCTAAATTATCCAATACTTAATAAATTAAAAGATATTAGAAACGGTGAAGGAAGAATGAGTATAGATGTCTCAAAGGGAACATCCAGCGAGTTGTGAACGTGACATGAGCTGACTGGATCCGCACGCAAGCTATTCAGTTAAGAAAGACTCGTGACCAAATCAGCACAGGACTTGGATAATTTGCTGCGGCATCAACAGAGAGCTGATACCAGGATCGGCTCATTCAAATGTTGCCCAAGCATGGTTCGCTGTACAGCAGATTTCATAATCTCAAAATGCCTCTCCAAAATCTGGACTGTGTCCTTTAAGGACTTGTTCTTCTCTTCAAGTTGGGCGATTTCGTTCTGCAGTAAAGACACCATCCTCCTGCGCCGCTCTCGGTACTGCTTCGACCGCTGGTTGTCAAGCACCCTGTGGCGCACCCGCCGATCTTCTTCACTCATGCTCTCATATTCCGCCTTCGCCAGCCGCAAGCGCCGCTTCGAGTCCAAGCCCATGTTCGATACTATAACAGTGCCGCCAAGCCTGCTTCCTGACGTCATCGAATTTGGCTTAGTGCTGTTTAGCCTTGGAGGCATCGCAGAATTCTTACTCACTACATGCACGTAACGAGCAGAGGACTGCAACGCAAGACCTTGACCACATTCGATCAAAGTTGGAGACGTCTCGCAATCGTCGACGTGACCAGTTGGCATCTCTTGGTGGACGAGATTAACTCCATTTTCCAAATATACTCTGTCACCAAGAACATTACTGTTCAAAATAATTCCTTCGGGTTGGAAACTGTCACTCACTTCATACTTGATGACTTTTGATTCCTCTTCCATACCGTCACGGCTTTCCGTCAGAAACTCAATGGCAGGACCAGACAGTCTGTACTCATTTAAACTAATTTTTTCATCAACTGAGTTACTGGAGTTGGTATCACTAAAGCTGGACGGAGATGACCTGGAACTGTAAAAGGTCTCCGAAGTTTGCGGGTCATTCTCAATGATGTAAGTTACGGCATCAGCCAGTTGCAACAAGTTCATTTTCGGAGGCAAGCCTGCTTCTCCGGGAGTGCAATATCCATCCACAGACGTAGCGTCATACAATTGTTCTATTGACAATGGACGTTCTTTTTTAATGAAGAGACTCGTTTGCGTATCAGACTCCACCGACGACCGTCTTGTTGCCATTGACAGGTCCAGAGGCATGCATTCTTGAGGACGCGGGCCATCATCGGACAAACTGCGCTGAATTTCAGTCCGTATTCCCACATGATTCTCGGAAAACAAGTTAGCCTGACTTGCTGATACAGGACGACGTTCAGTATCGATTGCCGGATAGTCTAAAACTTGATCGTCGGTACATTCAGTTTTGACACGACTAACAATCTCGTAGCTTTCGTTACGCCTGCAGCGTTCACGAAGGCTAGAAGAACCACTATCCACTTTTTTCTCGAAGCAGATAATATGCGGCCTAACAACACCGGCGTGGTCGCTCCAAACATCTGACACACGATCAGCAGATCGACTGCCTCCTTCAATTATCTTGTTATTTTTTACCAGGCCAAAACCCCGATCAGTTTCACAATGAGTCACGGCATAAACCAACTGCTCTTCACAGGCCAGATCGTTTGGACGGATTTCTACTCTATTCGATGGGAAGTATTTCTTACTAAAATATCGCGGTGGTGCCGAAACCTCAATGGTGGAACTAGACGAAACCAGATATTCATGAACATCAGAGGAGTGCGCCGACTTCTCCTGCCACACAAGAGGAGAACTCGCGGCTTTTTGCAGTGCTGAGTGGCTTCTAAAGGAATCCGTTGAGTGAGATCGCTCACCCACCAGAGCTTTATAGAGCGCACTGTTTTCATTAGTCTTGTTCATCTGAAAAAGTAGGACTAAATTAATACATGCACAAATTGGCCAAAAAGGACCCTTCTTAATTTCACATACGTACCATGCGGTCATTTGGTCATCACTCTCTTGACCTTGAATGAAACAACTGCCAAACCGACTGTCTTGTGTCAACCCTAAATGACTTGCAATTTCAAACAGAAATCTTAATTGACTCAATATTACTTATGAATTAGCAATAATCCTATCTTAATGTGTCCGCTCAGTTCGATTGCTGAACCTGTTAGTGAAGAAAGGTGCTGCTCTGTGTGATGCATCTTCACCAGCCAAAGTGCGGGGTATGATTGTATTGGTAGCATTTTTTGTTAGTTAGGTGAAGCCAGATAAAGCTCTTGGGAAAGACAGATTTAACAACAACGTATTAATGTATATTTAATCTAAACCATCATAAAAACGAGATTTTTTTTTCAAGAGTAACGTATCATGAGACAGTAGTATTTATTACGAGAAGAACAAATGATAAATTCCTGCATATTTAGTTGCATCATCCATGAGAAGATATGACAACTGAAGAGCAAAGGTTAGCAAGATACACTAAAGCCAACTTAAATGCTGCCAACATGCCAAGGGAGCCATGCTGGGTTCCCAGCGAATAATTTTTGATTGTATCCTAACAGTAACAGTAACCAGGTAACTACAACGCTCTGCTCTTATTAGGAGAGAATAAGTAGCGATAGCCGAGTCAGCAACCACAACAAAAGATAAGGAAATGGATATTTATTATAAGAAGAAACAAACTGACTGCTAATTGATATCCTCCTTAATTTCAGGATTTGAAATGTATAATTTGAAAAAAAAGTTTAAAGATTCAAATCTGATCAATAGCTAGGTTGAAGTGAAGGCAAATAAAATCTATAATGAATGAAAGAATCTAAGTTTATGGCTAACCAGCACATTAACTCAACTCAATACAAGTTAATTTTAACTCAATATTATCAACTAAAATTTTTTCATAAAAATATTATTTTTGGGCATGCTTGAGCCATTTTTGTGAACTCTGCACCAGCTTAACCACTTCCAAGAATTTTTTGCTTCTTCACACTAATTATTTTATTTTAGTGCTATATATTTTTGACTGTATGGTTATGAAAACAGTTTTTTATTATTTCCTATTCCCAGTTTTGTGGTGGACTTTCTATTTTGAAAATACCTTTCTTGGCAGCAAAAATGAGTCAATTGGTTTTCCAACAAACCATTTTTTCTTACTTTAACTGTAAAATTTTCTAAAAAAATCAAGATAAAAGAAATGAAAACATATTTTATGTTTAGTTTTTATTACAATTGTTACCAAATATCCAGAAATAATTTAATATGCATAAAATATGAAATCTGGATGCAAACAACACTCTTCAAAAAACAATAGCTGTTGGAGCAAGTCAAGTCACAAAATCATTCAACTATCATCTTTCACAAATTGAATGGCTTACAAAGGCCTAAAATTAACAAGTATAAACGGATGTAGCAGGTCTTTGAAGGCAAAATTTGAAATGAGCTAACTTTTCAACTAAAAAAAATGTTTTATGAAAACATGAGTAAACATTTCTGCTGGAGAATGGTTAATACTAGAAGTATGATAAACAAGAAAATGAAGGTTCAAGTTTACCACAAAGACAATAGTATTCACAGGCCGGCAGGGTGGCAGTATTTATGAAAAGTGAAGCAGGGCTATGAAGTATGGTGGAACTTTAAATATTTCTTGTATCATTAATGGGTTTGCCAGAGACCTTAAGAAGGTTAGTCAAATTTTGGCCGCGAAAAATGCATCTGTTCTGACAATATATGATGCCACACTTTAAACTAGAAAGTGGAATAATAGCCTCACACCCACCATTAAGCCAAGGCAAGATGATGGTACTTCCAACAGTTCCACACTCTGAAAAACAGAATACAATACATTAATAAAGAACACCAACTTTAAAAGTTTGGCCTAAAATACAAGCAATGAATTACATATTTTGAACGCTTAAATAGCATTACTAGATGCAGTCTGGCAGTTAAAACCCTCGACTTATTACCATGTTAGTCTTGGATGATTGCAAATGCACAAGCTCACTGCAAATGCCAGGCATGACATTTGTTTGGGCTGTGTGCTCTTTATGGGGCTTCTCAAATAAGAAAACAAGGAACTTGTGGATACAACTTAATTAATGAATGATGCATTTTTCCAACATGACTATACCAATGATCTATTTCTGTGAGAATTGAATCAAGTGGTACTCAAGTCTCTAATTATTATCATGTAACATAATCCATACAGAAAGCAGTCATTATGATTTCTCTTGATAATAACTCTGAGTAATGCTTGAAGTCTCTCAAACAAGTGAGGTAACTGCAAGTTCATGATTTCGTTAGGAAAAAATTTACACTGAACAGTTTTATTATTTTGGAACACTAAGTAAAATGCTGGCAGTTTAGCCCCCTCCCCTCCTCCATCAAACAAGCACAATTAGAAATTTTAGAATAAACAAAAATGACACAAAAATTCACAATAATACTATATGTTTTCAAAGTACATTCTGATTTCACTTTATCATCATTGGAATGGCGCTGCCCCACCAGATTCTTTGCCAGATGCTTCATTGCCATTGGTTAATCCACTTGACAGTCCTAAATAAGCTCTTTGTACATACTTTGCCAGTGCAGGTGTCACTAGATGGACAATATGGCTCATTTAAGGCTCCTATTGGAAAAATTATGCATTTTACTGAAATTTTCTGGCTCCAAAATCCTTCATTCCAAGTGAATTTACTATCTATAAATCTGATGTCTCCTTTTCTTGTTAATTCAAATTCTTGCAGCTTGGTATCAGAATTTTACTCCAAGAATAATGATTCATATATTCAAGATCTATCTAGCCTGGTAACTTGATCAGTTCCAAAATATTTGATAAATACAAACAAAAGGCTAAAATATCTTTGTATTTTTTAACAATAAACAATATAATATGTGCACTTGTTTATCTGCACATGGTGATTCATGGAAACTTCCTGTTTTGGATTTGGCACCCAGCAGCCAGATGTTATAGGAAAAGGGTGGGGAGTATTTCATATGAAAGGCAAGGTCATGAAGTTTTGTATCCTGCCTAGTCAGTTACCACTGTGCATTGGACAAGTGAGCAGCATGCACTTTCTGTTGAGGCCTACTTTTCTCCATTCCACTGTCACAAGCATTCAGTACTTGGTTCCATATTTATATTTCAGTTTGGTTTCCTGATCAGAAATTGAATGTTTTGTGAATGAACATGTTTAGGGCAAATCATCAATCAATTGTTCAAAATGGCTGTCCAAGGACCCTCATTTGAAGAATAACATACATCAAGCCACTGCCAACATACCTGTCAATAAGCTTCATCAAGTTTAATTGAACTTCAAAAATTGACTAACTGAATGCATTGACCATGGGGCTATCATTCCTTCAATTTAATCTTTAAAACCGATAAAAAAATTCAGGTAATGTCATTTCAATAAAATTTATACCATAATGATATCTTTAATAAAAAAATTTTTATTGAGCTTTCAAATCAGAAAGTTTTCATGAATCACCCTGTCCATGTAACCCATGAATTCCATGCTGCTTGGTGGTCTTGATGTAATAATAAAGGTTCCAGACATGGTGGATCAATGTTTTCATTGATGTCATCATGGTTGCAGTTGGAATGGAATTCTGGAAGTGGTAGTACATATCTTAAACTTTAATCCAGCTGGCCAGTACCAATTGCTTGATTGAAAAAGTAAACTACTAAGCTGAGATCAAATTCCAGCCCTGAAATCCAGCCTTATAAATTATGGTGGGTGGGTGGACACCATAGTGGGTAACTAAGGACATGCATCAATGCACAGAATGATATAGATCTACTCTGTGAGCTGCAAATAAAGCTTTTCCACCATTTTTTGAGGCACAAGTCACAAGATTCATGCCCAATGAATTACCTCCCGTCCAATTGTTAACACATGCACCATCTAACCACCTTATTCCTAATTGATTGGAAACCTGTCACTTTGGAGCAGAGATTTCAGTAATAAGCAGGAAAATTTCAATATTATTGATGTGCAAGTGGTTTAGCTATCTAACTACAATTAACCTCATTCACACAAAATCCCATCAAATGGGGTAATGAGGGACTATTTTTTTTTCATTGACTATTTTTTAGTACGAGACATTCCATAAAAAAGTTTAGGCTCACTTTAAAGGTATTTTCAATTGATATTGTATGACATCTCTGAAAAAAATTCCATAAGGTATTCGCAAGATGCCATAGGCAAAAACGTGTCCCAAATTACCCCTGGGAACGGGGTAATCTGGGAGACTTGAAATAAAACTTAATTTATAATGTTTGAATCATGCAGAGGGTACTCATCCATTACTAACAGTACTCTGAAGTCCTCCTCTATATTTATAGATGTAGAATAAATGATGTTTTCTGTGATTTGCACTTGTTTTTCTGTTATTGATAATATTCCCATATTTATTTATCATTAACTATTTATCCCATTCTATATCTGCCTAACACTCTTAAGGGGGGCGTCTACCCTCCAGAAAAACTTCCACATTTACTAACGGATCTTTCAGTAACTTCTTTCTGTAAAGCAGATTTTGTTTGTATGATTTTTCGGAAAAATTAATAGAAAACGTGAAATTCATAGAAAATGGACAAAAAGGGGGTGCATTAAAATCTATCTCCTCCTACAGTTTTCAAGCTTATATCTCCTCCTACAGTTTTCAAGCTACAGCATTGAAAGATATACCATTCGATTTGTAAAGACTGATACCAATCGAGTAATAAGCCAGATTTTTTATTTTTGCCTTAGTTTTTTTACACACATTTTTCTGTTTTCTTCAGATTCTCCCCCCTCCCTCCCCCCCCCATTTTGAATAGATACAGAGCACAAGTATGTGGGACAAGACAGGCAAAGAGACACAGAAAAAGTGTCATGCATGCCTCACCTTGCGTCCAGGTTGTAGATTTTCCCCCCTTCCCCCCCAATTTGAATCCAAACTATGCACAAATCTAAAAAAAGGCTTCATTACTCGATAGGTGTGGTCTTTACAAATCGAATGGTATATGTCGCATTGCTGTAGCTTCAAAACTGTAGGAGGAGATAGGTTTGCCGTGAAAATAAGTGTGAATGTTCAGGAGAGCGCGACAAAGTCCTGCGCGCATTGCAATAGGCACTCAATGTAGCAAGGATACAAAACTAAACCTTACTGGAGCTTGATTCCAGTCCAGGATGGTGGGAGCAACTGCATGCACACCTCCTCATACGACGCCAGGCGGGTAACTAAGGTGCACCTCAAGACACTATTTAAAGTGCTGGCATTGAATTTCCTCCTATTCTATTTGTTAAAGAACTCCATCACCCCCCTCCCTTTCATGATCTGCCGTGAGCGCATAAATCAACGTACAGAGATGGGAATGGTACCGTTGGATAGGGCAATATGTCAGCTTTAAGATGAGACTTAAAACCGGAAAAGCCAAATCCAAAAACTTTAGGGAAGACGCCCTCCTTACCCCCTCCCCCAAAAAAAATTCCATGCCATTGACAACAACCTTGTGCACTGCAAGCTTCATATCAGCTGCTTTATAGAATTTCCTCTGTAACCTTATGGTACTGGGCTTGTAATTTTGCATCATTTTAATTGGTACAAGCGAATTGATTCACTATAATGAAAAAAAATATATTGTAAAAAGCATAACTGTAACAGAAAGGAACATTTTAGTGACAACCATCACATTTTTTGGAGGAATAAATCATAGTTTTGATTAATTACTTTTCATTCTATCATTCCTATGTTACCCAGTGCACAATTCTATATATGACACTCTATGCACAATTTGGCGATGCCCAATGATGCATAAATTGCATTAATTTTTCTGTCAAGTGAAACTTTTTCACTGAGAGAAGTAAACTTAATCAAAATTCTTTGTCATTAACCAATTTTTTTGTTGTCCATAGCCTTTGCAAACCAAAGTTCTACTGTAAATGCATTTTTAGGGGTGTCCCATAACCTGTATTACTCCAGGGGGATGTCCTGTAATATCCTGTCTTGTGGAAACAGCCAACATCTTGTTTTGGATTGAGGTGCATAAATTCCGTCAATAATGTTTTAAAGCCAAGAACTGTCTGCAATTTTTTCAAGTGAAATTTTCAAGTATGACAAATTTTTTTTACTACAGACTTTGGCAGAAGTACTTTTTTAAAACATATAATTTTTATATATTTTTTTCATGAATTTTTTAGAGCTAGTAAATGCATGATTTCTTAACTTCCTTTTTGCTACATAGCCACCACACTCAGGATGATGCATGTTTTCGGTGAATTTTCCCGCACATTTTCACTTTTTTTAAGCTATTAAAGTGCGTACAGTTGGCGCAATGTAATGAAAATAAATTCTCTTTGCGCACGTGTTCGCGCAATCCCGGCCATCAATTCTACGTCGCGCTGCCGCGCACGAGCAGTTTGTGGAGGAACAGACGTAATACTCACATTACTCAGTACAGTATGCCTTGAATTATCTTACCATAATATATGATTTTTCTTGATACGGAAATTTGGTGAATGAGAAATCTAGAACTTTATTTTAGAAGAAATTTTTTCCAAAGTCATATGGCAACACTGATCACTGAACACCATCTGTTTACATTTCGTATATATAATAGCCGCAGCCGCAGTTTATGATTACCGTACGTTCCGTATCCGACAAGGCGGACAAGCAGAAGAGTCAGAAGTAATCCGGACATGTCTTACATTTTATTATTGTCAGTTCGACTCGTGTAGTCAATTATACTGTCAATATACTCGCGTATATTGTCAACTAAAATAGTAAACTATTTTAGCTTTCTAAAGTACGGCGCACGGCGCATTTTTTTACCAGCATAGTACGGCGCACCGCGCAGGTCGTAAAAATGACAAAATAAATTCCCGCGCACCTGGCACATCTTCCTGACCATGGCATAGCCATAGGTATGAAAAATGTTGAAGTTTCCACCACTATTGTTAATTTTGCAATATTTTAATTATTTTGGAGCTATAAAATTTTTACAACATGATGGAGAACAGTCCCGATTTACCCTACCCATCTCTTATTACACTATTAGACATCTGACCATCTGACAGTACCAAGTGTAATTTGCTGCAAAATTATAAAAAAGTTCAATAGTTTCTATTTTCAAGATATACCTAATTATATTTTTAATTTCATTGGAATAAGTATAAATGAGTTTTTACATGAAAAATATCATTTACACTTCTGAAATGTGAGTCACAAATTGAAAATTATGTGACTCAACTTCTCACATTGCATGTGAACAAAAAGTTTCCGGGTCATTTGTCAACAAAATATCAATTATTATATTTATTCCCACAAGAAAGCGCTGAGCAACACATGCGTGTTTGATACTTGATAAAATCTACTTCCACAAATCGATGCGCCAGCTAAGCGGTGTATGTTATGTGGGATGGGAACAAAGTTTTCAGACTTCAGTAACGAGTTCATCATCATGATCATGCGCTAATGGTCGGAGAGGATTTATTTTTCCCATTTACAGATTACATAAATATAAATCAAGTTTAATATTCAAGGGCAATTTGGAAAATTACTGAAGAAAACTTCTAACACCCCGGCTATACACGACCTTGATGAGTAGCCAGCACCCGGTTTGAGGAAAGGTGAATCAACTCTGCCGCAACGGCCACGCGCCTTCCTACGCTGGGGCAATCGTTCGCCATAGCTGAATGTAACACGATGCAAGATTCACCACGATAGCAAATATATAGATAATTTCAAAAACATCCGTGTATGGTTCTTACACGTGCGTAGGGATGACAATTATCAATCCTAGAGATAATACACTTACCAAAAAAGAAGAAAAACAAGGCACGCAACCCACACGTACGAACTACACCGCGGCTAGAAGCAAGCTGCGTCTCGGCAGCCGCTGCTGATTGCCAGTTCAATTTGCAACCCGTTCACGTAAAATTACAACACGATATTTGGAGTACCGGGTGAAATGACTAGGGCACTCTGTAAAAGACGAGTATACATAATACATGATCTCAGATCGATGCATATTATTCATATTACAGTTACAATGATACATTACAGTTAAACGACTTTACATTTCGGAAATGGTGGTTTGTCTCAGAAACAGAGACAGTCAGACAGTGATGCAATAGATTACAAATCACGAAAAACATGCCTGAAATGCAAATAACTTTTTTGGGGGCCTTTAGAAGTGCATATCATGTCTATATTTATTTCAAACTTTGGCGGTGTGCAAAAGTTTCACATGAACTTTTAATAAATGAACATGGATTAATTAAACGTTCACTTAACGAAATTAGCATGATGCAACAGACTACTTTTATCAACGACCATGGCATTGCATCACATTCCTCGAAAAAGAATACGTTTCACAAAGAAGTCGATTAAATAAAAAAATCAGATGAAATTTTTGCTCAAGAACTTACGCAGAAAATTCAAAGTTCTTAAAGGAAAGTTCATATCATGAACATGAGATCCTCACTTTCATTCCGTTGAAGCCGACATCGCGGACACCTGAAAGTTCGGGCACTGCCAACACGAAAAGATTTTTTCAATTAATGAACCATATATTGGGCAAACGTTCAACAAAAGTATCAAAATTACTAACTATCAGGTCAGTAACTTTGTTATTAATGTTGAATTAATTCTTATGTGATAAGGTGACGCTACCCTAACATTCGCGTCAAAATGTTGCATTCACATTCACCGCATTTCGTTGACTGAACTTCATTTGACTCATGAAATTCATCGAAGAGTAAACTCAATGATTTGTAAATGATATTGGCTTTTGTTTATAAAATTTTAGTATCTAAATAAAATAGCATTAACAAAAACGAAGGTGAAAGAACTGGGCACTCTCGGTTTATCCATGTGCTTACTGCGTGGTCAAAGCCTGTTTTAGCGTTGAGGGTGTATCAATTTCGCATCGCGGGCAAGAAGATATGTTACAGTCGAATAGGCATGGAAAGTGGCAAAAAAAAAATTATCTCAAGTAATAATAAATAAATACGTATACAAATATAGACAACAGCATTTTTCATTGTCGCACATAATTTTTCATATTTTTTCACATCATCGTACCAATAGAAGATTTTGTCAATTTTATTATTTTATTAACATAATTTTCTATCAAAGATTCTTCGTCGTTCCTCAAATGGCAAAAAAAAAAACTTATTGTCATCTTATGTTGGTGAGGAACTAAGAAAGGATGATCATATCAACATAATCGAAGAAGCAAGAAGCAGAGGTCGCCAACACGACAGATCTTTAATTCAATCCAATGGAACTAAAAAAAGGAAATGCAAGTAATCCTGATTCTACTGAGACATGTACACCTAACTACTGCAGTCACTCGCTACGAGCTTTATGGTGGGACGCTCAAGAACAAGGCTTCTTCCGTACGATTCAATAACAAAAATATGCTGTAAATTTACGATTAACGCATTAAATGTCTTTGGGCAAGCAAAACATAAATCCATCTATTGACTCGACTCTAGCTACTGCACATTGTGTAATAGTCAACCATTGAAACGAGTGAGGCATGGAAGTGTTGGACTTGCATCATGTTACCGACAGATACGGAGATAGTCGCTTATCGTCCGACGCTCTCTCTATTTACATCATCTTCCGTTCGGTGATTGCGGTCTCGAACTCACAACTCACTGATTCAAATTCTGCTGTGCTTAACCGCCCGGCCTCCTTGCCGATTCCGACCAAAAACTGGCGCACAGAGCTGCATGGGATCGAACCCGCGCGAACCCGCCAATCTTGGTACTCTGAACTGTAACCACTGGGCCACCCAATCCACGCAATACAATCATCCTTAAAAACGTGACGAGGCCTCGTATGCCTACTAATTTACAATATATATAAACTACAGATCTCATACGAGCAATAGTCTCTGAACATAGCGTCATTGACAGTTTAGCGTCAGACATCAGTATACAAATGATAATTGACGTGCCATTTAACAAGAATACTTGACCACCTCATCAGTAAGCCGGCATATACGTATTTTTTAGTTTCATCCCCAAGTTTCTCAGTTAATATTCGAGAGCAGCGTCCGCATGGCCATTAGAAATTTTATACTTCTATAAGCTCGGACAATAATGCCAACTTCTGTAGCACTTCCGAAACTTAACGATTGTTCATTTTGAGCAAATTGCCTACACTATGTTAAAGCATTACTTTTTTAACATTGTATCACGCAATATTATTATTAAAACGCAGGTTTTATAAATAAAAGTATCAAAGTGGAATTATAAATATTGTTGGAAAATTTGGGACTTTAAAAAAGACGTTTTCACCGAAGAAGACCTGAAGGGCAGTCATCAGTCGTCCCTGAGGTGTAGGAGATGGATGTTGCACTTCTCAATTGAAAGGCTACTGCATTGTATTCAGGCTTATTGATTGCATCATGTTAGGTGTAATGCAACACGAATAAAGACTTAAGGGATCAATCAACTTTTTCCGCAACAAATGATATCTCGTCCGACACTGTGTGGTCACCACCGCTGCACCACACTGTGGTGCAGCTTTCTGCGACTGCCACAAGAGTTTTTGCGTCACCATCACTGGCAATTACAGTCACCATTAGAACGATTGCATATTTTAAGAAGTACTCAGTTTTAGTAGCGAATTATTAGTTGGGAGCATTTATTTACACACAAAAGTGAGCTTATAAATTATAACCTTGAGGCCTCGAAACTGTTGTCACGTGCCCAACGGCAACGAGAGCCCGTAAATAGAAAGACACCGTCAAAAAGTTTACAATAATTTTACCCAGACACGAGTTCTGCAACGCATAATTGCGGTGCTATGTTATAGTTGCTTGTCGTCAATTATTATGCAGAGTATTTAGTCAAAAGATGTATTTCACGATTATCATCACTGAGGAGATTAAATTACATACAAGCCAGGGTAAATATTGAAGGGTTTGAGTAAACTTCACGATGTCACACACTAGACGGTGGTAAAATTAAATAATTTCAGTTTTACAGTCACATTCTTAATTTTTAAAATTTTATTTTGTTGATGATTAAAATTAGATTGCGGGACGAGATATTAAGTATGCAACAGCATTAGGTGCTGGCTATTTAGTCAGATAACTGTTGTCACGTGCCCAACGGCAACGAGAGCCCGTGAATAGAAAGACACCGTCGAAAAGTTTACAATAATTTTACCCAGACACGAGTTCTGCAACGCATAATTGCGGTGCTATGTTATAGTTGCTTGTCGTCAATTATTATGCAGTGTATTTAGTCAAAAGATGTATTTCACGATTATCATCACTGAGGAGATTAAATTACATACAAGCCAGGGTAAATATTGAAGGGTTTGAGTAAACTTCACGATGTCACACACTAGACGGTGGTAAAATAAAATAATTTCAGTTTTACAGTCACATTCTTAATTTTTAAAATTTTATTTTGTTGATGATTAAAATTAGATTGCGGGACGAGATATTAAGTATGCAACAGCATTAGGTGCTGGCTATTTAGTCAGATCACATGCTTAATTTTTTGCAGTAGAGTCATGACAATTTTGAAGGAAATAATGATGTAAATACCCGTAGAAAAATGTAAGCCGTATGTTCATAGTGATGTGCTGCATCTGTTCAGAATTGTATGTTCGAATTTTTAATTGGTGTTATTATTAAAGAGATGCCTTTTAATTGTAATCAAAATGCAGTTAATTTATGTAACATAGAGTATTCGTGCACTATTGATATTTTTAATGCAGCTTGGAGGATGTGCGTGATCACAATAATAATTTTATTTTAGGTAGTCAGGTAACAATACAAAATTTTTGACATACGGTTTAGGATTATGTGATAATTCTTCTCTATAGACGGAAGGTTCTGGACGTACACATACGTAAATAACAATCGTTTTCTGTGTACAATTTTAATTTGAACATAAAATTTTAACGCAGGAAATAAGCGTGAATAATTTATATCTTATGAGGAAACCTGGGTAATTAATTAAAGCCGTTAACTAACTGACGTCAGCACAGAGGGGGAGATGGCGGCCGTAGCGCTTCTCGGTCTTCCTGGGGGCAAGAGCTAGGAGCTGCTAATGCGATTTAACTTCTTTATGCTCGCTGTTATGTGAGCCCAAGTCAGTCCCGCTCCAACCTTCAGAACGAACTCACCTCTGTTGTCTCAGTTTAACACGGTTGATCACAATACATCCTTCATAGAGACTATTATGTTCTCTGAGCAATGTTTTGCCGCTCTGGACATAAGGACGAGATCTGACACCGGAAATTCCATCGATGCATTTGTGCAAGATTTTTCTAATTTCACTGACGATGTTAGCTTTGCGGATGTCGTACTCCAACCAGACCCCAATCCACCATTGCTGTCTTGGTTTAGTGCCTATTACCTTCTCCATAATGTGGCTCTGCTAGACAGTGTCTTGTTCCTGTTGACGATCTTCGTCCCACGGAAGATGTCCCTGCAGCCACACTTAATTTCCTTTCCAACATTTCGCTCAGCTTTAGCATGCATTGAAAAAATCGAGTTTTTCTTCAAAGAGTTATTGAAGGCTTTGATTGGTGTTTTCTTAATCATCGTCTGTCTGCCAATAGTTGTAACGTCTGTGGTTATTTTTGGCACCGCAGTTCGCATCATCGAGAAGCGACTGGAGTCTAGGTATGGAAAAACGGCATCCAAAGCTGCAGCTCTTGATTCTATTTGGGGATCTGAGACTCCGAAAAGCCGTCCTTTCATCACCGTGTTCATGATTCTTACAGGGAAGCCATCAATAAACAAAATACGTGCTCTGATTCAATCACGCGTTTTGGATCGCAAGGAATCGAACGGATGTCCGACATACCGTAAGTTTAGGCAGCTGCTCACCATTGAATATGGCTATTTCATCTGGAAAGACGCTCCCAAATTCGACATAAGAAAGCACATCTATGTCTGGAACGATCCTCGTAAGTTCACAAAAGACGTGAATTCTGACAAGCAAATGAACGAGGAACAGAAATGCAGAGCCGCCGAAGCTGTTGCCCTTCATTATATAAACTATTATGGATGCCAGAAAATGAACGAAAATCGACCTAAATGGGAAATCGTCTTGCTTCACAGTAACGCAAGTCCGGATGGCAAGTAAGTACTGCCATCTTACAAGCGTGCTCGTTTCGAAAATCTTCGATAGGTCAACACCAGGAACATAAAAGATCACTTAAAAAACGCAGAACAGTCCTAAATTGCATTTACACTTCTTGAGTGCATATTTCACACGGATCAATTTCCAAACGGAAATAAAGGCAGCCTACGTCGCTTTGTGTAACAGGTACAGTGTAGTGGTGAGGCTTCATCACTCGATCGCCGACGGGGTGAGTCTCATGAGGCTCGTCACAGAGTCGCTGGTTGACGAATCGGAGCGAGCGTTGCTTAGCACCACACTTCGGCCGCGTCAAAAAGTGGGGTGAGTTTCTCGCGCAGTTATTCTTTTGTTCGAATATACGTTTTTATATGTAAGTGTCAACGTATGTCGGCACGTACCATTATTTGGGGCTGTTATAACAAACAAGACTACAATTTTCAGGTATTATCCAATCAACTAGAAATAACGTTACTTATTACACATTAGTAAATGTGAATTAGGTCGTGAATAAAGGGAGAACAGCAATAAAATTGAACTCTGCACGGGGTCCAGATATGATATGACTGCACGGGGTCCAGTCATATGGACCCCAAGTTATAACGTCTTAAATTAACATCTATGTAATTTTATTCAGATCAGGCATTCATTTTGAGAGTGAATCGTGTAGGTCACTGGAAGTGAATTCCCAGATAAGTCTTATGAAACTTGAATTTATTTTGACCAACGAACGTGAAACTTTCAGGTAAGAATCTATTACAGTACGTTCCTATTGATTCTAATAAGAAATTTGTTAGATTGCTCTAACATTAACCACAATACATTTGACGTTGTTCTTGACAAGCGTTAATTATCAAATAATTCAAAACAGCGTAACGTTATCGATCAAGATCACGTGATTGGATTCGACACAAAAACTCATAACTTAAAATTTTACAACGAGCCATGGCCTATAAGTTTTAATTTCGAGCAGAGCTCTGGATGTCATGTGGTCGGCATGCATGATGCCCCAGGAGCTGCTGAAGGCGCTCTGTAACTTCGACAAGAACCCTCTGTACGGACGACCACTGACAGGCACCAAGGTTTGATATGAGGAATTTAAGCAAGTAAAGTAAGTAATGTAAGTAAGTAAAAGTATGTAAAGTCTTGATCGCTAGCGAGAAATATTGAATTTTACGATTGCAATTTTGAGATGCGGCAGTGCTAGATAAAAATTATATGTATCAAACGTTAAATGAACATAACAGCGCGAAAGAATTTACCAGTTAAAAATCAGAAGAAAAAAATTTAACGCAAGCTCCAAGAGTCGCTTGAAAAAATTAAATATAAAATATAATTTGAAATCAACGCTGCAAGTCCATCGATGTAAACTTGTATATCAAACCGAGTCACGAAATCATAAAAAAATAAAACTGACCAACAAGATCCTAAGTTGGTGGCAATGATGAAGATTTGATTTAAGAACAAAAGAAGACCTGGAAAAATAACGTTAAGCTATCGCACTGCAAATCGATATATTTATGCAGTGTGATAGCTTGATGAAGGTTTCTAGATATTCTTTTGTCAGTAACATTTGCTACTGAGCGGCTGCAAGATATCACTGCGATCGATAGCTTGAATACCAAACCCACTAGCTTTGCTGTCGATCCAAATTTAAGAGACAGGAATAAAATCTTTCTTTTCCCAAATCAATGTTCGTACTGATAGCAAAAACCACCAATTTTTGTGCGTATCTTCACTACACAGCGTCCGCAGACTAGGAAAGATTTCCTGCTAGGTAGCGGTGTTCACCGTAGCTCTCTTGCAACGTCATCACCGTGGCTCACTTGCACGAGGCGTGGCTCACGTAAATTGCACGTTTGTCGGCGATGTGTACGAGGAAGGGGATAGGGCTGTTCCATGGTTGACTAGGGGCTGTTCGATATGTCACTGCTCCAATGATAAGCGCTCATCCGCGCCTCGCTTCATTCCCTTCCGATCTGTCGCTGAGGAAGTTGTGGATCCACGCCAATAAATTGTAGAAGTCTTATGTTTTTGAACAGCTCTCTATGATCAACTTTATCGAAAGACTTCAAAAAGTACTTAAGCAAATCCAAACACACCTCGTCCACTCCTGTTCGCTACTCCAAGTTGCCAGAATTTGTCAAACTGTGGTCTGATTATGAAGTGGTCTGATGAAGCAGTGGTCTGATGATGCAGAAGTCTGATGATGCAGTGGTCTGATGATGCAGTGGTCTGATGAAGCAGTGGTATGGTGCATTGAAGTGATTGGCGCGTTATATATAGTCTGATGGTGCAGTTGTGCAGTGGCGTCATAAATAAGTGACTTGTATAAAAAAGATTATTTCTACCCATCATTCCTTTCTTAGGTCATCCTGTTCTAGATTTTCAGAGACAAGAAAGATTTTATTAGGAAATAATATTGTAATAGTAGTATCCGTGTTGATAAGAGAAGAATAGCATGTCTGTCCCAGATTCTATTAATCGCATAATTTTTACAGCTAGCTGAAAAACCTGTTTTACTAGTAAGTTGTGGGGTCTCGAGCCCACAACTCACTGTTCCAATCATGGTGTTCTGAACTTCAACTAATTGGACAGGTAAACGTTAATAGGTGAACAATTACAAGTTGAGCAAGCAATGACCCAATCCAATTATTTTAATATAGCATAATATGAACTTAGTAACAATCATTTTTTCTTTTTCATTCAAGCTTTCCCTGTTTCAAATGTGCACGACCGCCTGTTTCAAGATTTGGACAGATAGAAAATTCCTAGTTTTAGAGAAGTATTTAGCTATTTCTATTACATTCCAATTCATGATTACGATCGTCATGACTTCAAGTTGCAGAAATTAAGAAAATAATAATGCTATCGCACAACGGCGAGACTCAATGATTTTTACAACACTTCTCTTTAACTTCACTTCATGTTCGTCTGTCTGTCTGCTACAAATCTTGTAATCAAAATTTAATACACTTCTACTTATCCTATCGATCTGAAATTTTGCACACTTGTGTAAAGTTGGAGACAATGCATGAATCAAATGTCAAAATAAATATGCTTAGAAATGAAAAAAAAAATTCTCTTCAATATTAAAAAAATTGAAAAAATAATTTTGTCAGCTACAAATCTTATAACTGATATTTGACACACTTTTACCTGTCTAATTGATCTGAAATTTTGCATACTTGTGTGAAATCAGAGGCAATGCACGAATCAATTGACAGAATAAATGATTTTGAAAAAAATTTATATATTGAAAAAATTTATATATATTTAAAAAATTGAAAAGGTAATTTTTTTTAATTTTCGAAAATTAGATGAGAAATTCATTCTACATCTGTAAGATTGGAGATACTGTATTCTTTGGAAGTGTTGTCTTTAAAAAGTAGTTAATAAACGTATGTTATTAGATATTTTCTACGTTTTAGAATAAGTGCAATAACAGTGAGCCGCACGGCGATCGTGATCCCAGGCTTGAAGTTCTTCCGTATGAATCTTTGGGTTAGAATTAATCACAGAATAGCATACGGTCGTTATGTAATATGTACTAACTGTGTTTAGAGCAAGTTTTCCCCGCACTCGGCTCAGATGTACTTCATGTCACGCCCCGTGTCGCTGGATGCAGTGAGGCAGGTGCGCATGGCGGCGAGCTGCACCGTCAACGACGTCCTCATGAGCTGCGTCTCGGCGGCCTTTTCACGCACCTTCCATGGCAGGTGAGTTCTTTTAGCTCATAGCAAGCCAATATAAAACATTTACTTAAATATTTAGCAATAATAAGACTATACTTTTGAAATTCCCAGCAAGTGTGGCTCCACTGTGACGCTCGTAGTGCCGATCTGCTATCACGATGTTGACGAATCCAACCCTCTGGTGAACAAAATAATCATGGCTAACCTGAAACTTCCATTGCCCAAGCCCGACACGTCGCCTTGCCAAAGACTGCATCTCGTAAAGGTAGTCTCTAGTGTCAAAATTTTGATCAATCTGAGCAAATGGAACAATTTTGGCCATGTTTATTCGCGGCATTGAAGTCATCACACTCAATAACAGCATGTAATTGTTTCTAAGCAAACGATAAATAGGAAATATTTGCTGTGATAGCGCTGAATAACTCAAATCACGCGTTGGTATAAACGTAGTGCAATGACTGAGCAGATGGCATGCAATGCCATGAAGAGCGCTCCTGGCCTGCTAGCGGGCTACCACACGACCACGGCCCTCTGCGCGCTGCTGCCTGCGCTCCTGGCTAGAAAGATCCTCACACTACCGGGCATCACCATGGGCGCCAGCAACGTTCCCGGTAAGAAATTCACATCTGTGCTGTCAGAATTAATTTATGTAAGACGATTTTCGATGATAACAACACATCGAGCTTCCATGAATGAAATTAAAAACAGTAATTCTAATACATTTACCAAGCACTCTATGAACAAGTTGCCCATGGAGGGAACTCGCCATGGCATAGTATTCACATATTCGAGTACACCTGAACAAAAATAAAATGATATTTATAGGTCCCCAGCAAAGTGTACGGCTGTGGGGCGACCGTGTGGAGAGCCTGGGCTTCTGGGTGCCTGACAGAGACCCAACAGGGGCGGGGTTGGGGCTCCTAAGCTACGCCGGTGGAGTACGGCTCTTCCTCAGTGCCGACGTTGGGCTGGCGGCGACCGCGCCAGAGGTGACTCTTCATTTAGCCCTGCAAAACTGATGCAATTTAAATTTACTCAATTTATTCAGATTCGCACAGCGTTACCTAATTTGCTTCTGTAATTTTTTCGCTGTTGTCTGATCGACCAACATTATGATTGGAGGGTGGCATCGAAACCATTGCGTTTTCGGTGCTATAGGTACGTTAGAAGATATCCATCTCGGATCGCTTGCTAATTTGTGGCACTAGTTTCTCGTGGTTGTTGGTTGCTCGTTCAATATTGTACGGCCCAAACATCGGTTAGTTACAGATCAGTCACACTGGACGCGATACGATTAAACTAGCACTCTCAAGTAATTGTAGAATTTGTCGTTTACAAATTTTCTGGTCATTTAAACATTATGTAAAGGTTTTAGCATTGAATTGAAGTACGAACACTCAGAAAAATGAGTGACAATCAGTTCAAATATCGAAATAATATTTCCTCTTTGCGATGCACTAATCAAGCTGTTGAATAATATCGATGCTGGGAAAAAATATAACCGTAATGTGACGGGAGTGCGAGGAAACTACAACTAGAAGGCGGTATATAGGAGAAACATCGTAACTCAGGTCCTAGAGTCCTAGACCCTTGTCGAGGGCATTGATATAAGTGGTCCTTGATAACCCTGTCCCATTTGTTACAGTTGTATTAGTAAAGGCGAGGATTCAAGGAATAAGAAAACGTTAATTGTAACACAAATTATATGCTCTTGCAGATGGAGCAATTCACTGCACAGTTTGAGAGTGAACTCGCCAGTTTGCAGTCTAGCACCGCTTCAGAACACCGCCCTTAATTCGGAGCTGTGTTATTCTGCAGAAACAACAGGAGAAATATCACCTTCATAACAGCGAGGAGAAAATAACGGGGACGTTGCAGTAGTTCAAAATATTTGTGATCAAATGGTCAGAATTATGACCGTCCCTTCTATGCCTCCTTTTACATATAAAAATACAGAACATATTATTATAATCTTAAATTAAACACAAGCGATATCTGCTTGTGAACACAATCAAATGATAAGAGGTTTAAATATATTATTTCTTAGAATGTTAAAGCATCCTCATTTCTTTAGTCCGACCACTCTAGAGTACAAGCTTTCTTGTATTCGCAAAATCTTTTACGAGTCGTCTGTCACCTGAGATTTATTTATGCCATAGCTCTAATGATATGGTGAGAACTCATTAGTAATTTGTTTATATATGATTCACGATTTACTTATATTTATTATTTCAGAAACCGGTAAATAAGTACTAAACCTCGAAACCGTCATTCCAATACTGTCTCCCACGAACCTTGAACCAAAGGAACCAACCCAAAATTCTTTACTTAAAATATATATAAGTTACTGAGCATAACACTATTATCTTAAACTGAACACAAGTTATATCTGCTTGTGAATGCGATCAAACGATACTAGACTAAAATATATTATATCACAGAATATTCAAATATTCACTGAGCATATTACTATAAGCTTAAACTGAACACAAGTGATATCTGTTTATGAACACAAGCAAACGAAAGGATACTTAGATATATTACACTATAGAGTATACTTAAGCTTAAACTGAACATAACCTACATCTGCTTGTGAACAGGGTCAAACGATAGTAGACTTAAATACATTATACCGTAGAATGAGCAAAAATTTAATTAGCATATTACTATTATCTTCAACTGCACACAAGCGATATCTGCTTTTGAACACGACCAAACGATATGAGACATCAATTTATTATACCTTATTATATGTAAAATATTTACTGAGCATATTACTACAATCTTAAACTGAGCACAAGCGAATTCTTCTTCTGAACACGATCAAACGATAGGAGACTTAACTATATTATACCATAGGATATGAGAAAAATTTACTGAGAATAATACTATAATCTTAACACGTTGACTACGATTGCTTCATCTTGTACTATTATTTCTTTTTTTTGTACTGTTTTTAAGCAGGGTTGCCAGACGGTCATTTTTTCCGGACAAATTCCGTGATTTAGTTTTTCTCAATTGCGTTGGCCGGCTGGAATTTATGATAGGGGTACTTCCTAATTAAATTTTAAATGCTGCAAAAATAAAATAAATGGAATTTTTATAGCGGAACCTACAAATAAACTAGTATATATTGAGTTATCGGCCTTTTTTGGCCTTTTTCTTCTCGGATTTGGCCGATTTTAGGCAACCTGAATTATGTACCACTGCCTCCTGGAGAAATACATTTCTTGGTACGCATATGTACATCTTCGGAGTCAATCTGTTAAACTGAACACAAGCGATATCTGCTCGTGAACACGACCAAACGATAGAAGACTTAATTATATTATACCTTAGGATATGAAAAAACATTTACTGAGCATATTACTATAATCTTAAACTGAACACAAGCGATAACTGCTCGTGAACACGACCAACCGATAGGAGACTTAAATATATTATACCTTAGGATAAAAAAAAAATTACTGAGCATATTACTATAATCTTAAACTGAACACAAGCGACATCTGCTCGTGAACACGTCCAAACGATAGGATACTTAAATATATTATACCTTTCGATGTGAAAAATATTTACTGAGCATAATACTATAATCTTAAACTGAACACAAGCGATATCTGCTCGTGAATACGACCAAACCATAGGAGACTTAAATATATTATACCTTAGGAAATGAAAAAAATTTACTGAGCATATTACTATAATCTTAAACTGAACACAAGCGACATCTGCTCGTGCACACGTCCAAACGATAGAATACTTAAATATATTATACTTTAGGATGTGAAAAATATTTACTGAACAAGATACTATAATCTTAAACTGAACACAAGCGATATCTGCTTGTGAACATGATCAAACGATAGTGAGAAATATATATATTACATCTTATAATATATAAATACAGAGCATATTACTATAATCTTAAATTAAAAACAAGCGATATCTGTTTGTGAACACAATCAAATGATAAGAGATTTAAATAAATTATTTCATAGAATATAAAAGCATCCGCATTTCTTGAGTCCGACCACTCTAGAGTACAAGCTTTCTTGTATTCGCAAACTCTTTTACGAGTCGTCTGTCACCTGAGATTTATTTCTGCCTTAGCTCTAATGATATGGTGAGAACTCATTAGTAATTTGTTTATATATGATTCACGATTTACTTATATTTGGAATATGAATTAAGTCGTTATTTAAATGTGTTCCTTATAGAATTTTTAAAATTATTTCAGAAACCGGTAAATAAGTACTAAACCTCGAAACCGTCATTCCAATACTGTCTCCCACGAACCTTGAACCAAAGGAACCAACCCAAAATACTTTACTTAGAATATAGAAAAGTTACTGAGCATAACACTATTATCATAAACTGAACACAAGTTATATCTGCTTGCGAATGCGATCAAACGATACTAGACTAAAATATATTATATCACAGAATATTCGAATATTCACTGAGCATATTACTATAAGCTTAAACTGAACACAAATGATATCTGTTTATAAACACGAGCAAATGATAGGATACTTAGATATATTATACCATAAAGTATTCTTACTTAAACTGAATATAACCGACATCTGCTTGTGAACAGGATCAAACGATAGTAGACTTAAATATATTATACCGTAGAATGAGCAAAAATTTAATTAGCATATTACTATTATCTTCAACTGAACACAAGCGATATCTGCTTGTGAACACGACCAAACGATAAGAGACATCAATATATTATACCTTATTATATGAAAAATACTTAACTATATTATACCATAGGATATGAAAAAAATTTACTGAGCATAATACTATAATCTTAACACGTTGACTACGATTGCTTCATCTTGTACAATTATTTCATTTTTTGTACTGTTTTTAAGCAGGGTTGCCAGACGGTCATTTTTTCCTGACAAATTCCGTGATTTAGTTTTTCTCAATTGCGTTGGCCGGCTGAAATTTATGATAGGGGTACTTCCTAATTAAAATTTAAATGCTGCAAAAAGAAAATAAATTGAATTTTTATAGCGGAACCTACAAATAAACTAGTATATATTGAGTTATCGGCCTTTTTGGCCTTTTTTTCTCGGATTTGGCTGATTTTAGGCAACCTGAATTATGTACCACTGCCTCCTGGAGAAATACATTTCTTGGTACGCATATGTACATCTTTGGAGTCAATCTGTTACACTGAACACAAGCGATATCTGTTCGTGAACACGACCGAACAATAGGAGATTTAGATATATTATACCTTAGGATATAAAAAAAAATTACTGAGCAAACTACTATAATCTTAAACTGAACACAAGCGAGATCTGTTCGTTAACACGACCAAACGAAAGTAGACTTAAATATATTATACCTTAGGATATGAAAAAATTTTCTGAGCATATTATTATAATCTTAAACTGAACACAAGCGATTTCTGCTCGTGAACACGACCAAACGATAGGAGACTTAAATATATTATACCTTAGGATATGAAAAAATTTACTGAGCATATTATTATAATCTTAAACTGAACACAAGCGATTTCTGCTCGTGAACACGACCAAACGATAGGAGACTTAAATATATTATACCTTTGGATATAAAAAAAATTTACTGAGCATATTACTATAATCTTAAACTGAACACAAGCGACATCTGCTCGTGAACACGTCCAAACGAAAATTGCGTTGGCCGGCTGAAATTTATGATAGGGGTACTTCCTAATTAAAATGTAAATGCTGCAAAAAGAAAATAAATGGAATTTTTATAGCGGAACCTACAAATAAACGAGTATATATTGAGTTATCGGCCTTTTTTGGCCTTTTTTTCTCGGATTTGGCCGATTTTAGGCAACCTGAATTATGTACCACTGCCTCCTGGAGAAATACATTTCTTGGTACGCATAGGAGTCATCTTAGGAGTCAATCTGTTAGACTGAACACGAGCGATATCTGCTCGTGCACACGACCGAACGATAGAAGATGTAGATATATTATAACTTAGGATATGAAAAAATTTACTGACCATACTACTATAATCTTAAACTGAACACAAGCGAGATCTGTTCGTGAACACGACCAAACGATAGGAGACTTAAATATATTATCGACCTTGGGATATGAAACAAATTTACTGAGCATATTACTATAATCTTAAACTGAACACAAGCGATATCTGCTCGTGAACACGTCCAAACGATAGGAGACTTAAATATATTATACCTTAGGATATAAAAAAATTTACTGGGCATAATACTATAACCTTAAACTGAACACAAGCGATATCTGCTTGTGAACACGACCAAACGATAGGAGACATAAATATATTATACCTTAGGATATGAAAGAAAATTTACTGAGCATATTACTATAATCTTAAACTGAACACAAGCGAGATCTGTTCGTGAACACGACCAAACGATTGGAGACTTAAATATATTAACCTTAGGATATGAAAAAATTTACTGAGCATATTACTATAATCTTAAACTGAACACAAGCGATTTCTGCTTGTGAACATGATCAAACGATAGTGAGACATATATAATTATATATTACACCTTAGAATCTAGAGGAACGAACGAACATATCTTTCGACTAAATGACGCATTCAACAGAAGACAAGAACAGTAATCCGCACCAATCTTCTCCAGTTACAAAATTAGAGCCGGTAATAAAACTATCTGTCACCGTCTAGACTCTAGAGACACGACTGATACGCGAAAGAGCTAAAATGTCTGTGGTAGACTACACTATATCGCACGCCCCGGTGCCGCGCTTGTTACCGGGGCAAGGTCAAAAGAACCACCCTGATTAATATATCTTATAGGAACAAATTGAGGTCAGGAATTCTTCGACTACTGAGTGGGATAAATAAAGACGCCTTCTATTTTAGACTTGCTAAAACTTAGTTGGGAACTTGGGGCTAACCGAGTCATTACAAAGAAACGAGCACACAATGGGACACAGCAATCACCTTCGGCCGTCAGAC